GCATGCTCCAGCAAGTCCCTTCATCAACTAAACAATGCGGAAGGAAGACTTCGGCTTGGGCGTCGCCAGCAAGTTCGGCAAGACCTCCATCTCATTCGCCTTCGGCTCGCTGTGATGCTTCAGCTCCTGAGTTGCGGAGCACAGGTTTCATGTCTGCCTTGACCTTGTCGACGATGCAAGACATGGCTGCCTGTTGGGAAACACACTCCGCAGTATGCCTACGCTGTTTCACGCTTTTGAGCGCAATGCTTGAGCCGTAGCCATTGGGTTTAGGGTTTAGGGTTTGGGGTTTTAGGTTTTAGGGTTTAGAATTTTAGGGGTTAGGGTCCCTGAACCCGAATTCGGGCTTAGGGTGCCTTGGGGCTTAGGCTTTCGGGATTTAGGGGTTTAGGAGTTTAGGGTTCAAATAATTACCAACACTAATTTGGGGGGGCACCTTATTATAATTATAATTTAACAGGCCCCAAAACCCTGTTGAAATTACTAAGGCCCTATATTAAACGCTAAACCCTGAACCGTGAATATAAAACCTAAACCCTGAAGGAACCCGTCAAAGAAAGAAGCCTCAAACATGAGAACTCCTATATGGAGCCTTTAAAGGATCCCTTGCAGGAACTCTTTATTGATCCCTTAATGGATAGAGCCTTCTGCTTGTCACGGCAAGGATGTTGGGGGATCTGGGGTTTCAAGCATTGGAGTTGCATGTAGGGTTTTGGGTTTAGGGGTTTCGGGGTTTAGGGGTTCAGGGGTTTGGGGTTTAGAGTTTTAGGGGTTTAAGGGTTTAGGGGTTTAGGGTTTTGGGTTTTGGGATTAGGAATTTAGGGTTTAGGGCCCCCTTTACTTCAGAGGCCCCAGGCTGCGGATTCCTACAAGGGTTTGGTGACTAAGGTTCAGGGCTTCAGGGGTTTAGGGTTTAGGGTTTAGGATTTAGGGTTTAAGGTTCAGGGTTTCAGGTTTACTTCAGTCTTTATATTACGGGTCAAAGGCTTCTTGCGGGACAAAGGTCTCTCATCTGGGTCTCAAGTGTAGAGCCCTGGTTAATAACTAAGCTTTCGGGTTTGAGGTGTTGGGGCATCGGAAATCGGGGGTTCGTGAGCACTGACAAATATGAAAAACTCTAAACCCTGAACAAGAAAACCCTAAACCCTAAACTCGAGTAGCGCGTTGCCCAAGGGTTTGGGCTTCGGCATGGGGTGTAGGGCTGTGTTGAAATCAGCGTTATTGAGCTTCTTTCGAGGGTGATACCCACCCGAAGTAGGAAAGCTGTCCCTAGCCCGCGACTTTGAAACCCCCAACACTGCAACTGCTAATCCGATACCCTGGGCACCAAATTCTGACAGCATGACATATCGCATCATCATGCTGTACTATGTCCGTGAGTCCCAGAATAAAGAATGATATCCCAAAACCCGAAACCTTAAACCCTAAATTTTAGCTTCATTGTGAGGCTACATGGCTGACGCAACAGCCTAGTCTGCAGCACATCGCGGCAAGATCTGTACGTGATCTTCAAATAATCATCCATCAATAAGCTCAGCAACTTGTGTGCTGTCTGTATAATCTTCGAAGCTTCGGAAGGAACTCGAAGACCTGAAACCCCAAACCTAATTCGCTTCACCCTGCAGTCAAGAGCTTGGAACACGAACTTGCAAACAGCCGACTATAGGGACTAAAATAGTTACCAATACTGTTTTGGGGGTTCCTTATTATAGTTATATTATAATATAATGGACCCGAAAGCCCTATTCTAATTATTAAGGCCCCTACATTAAAGCCTCCAGAACCATACATCCTCAGAAGTTATCCAAACTCCTGCGAAAGAATATGGTTCAGGCCGCAGATCCTGAAAGTCACAACACCACTTTCAAAAATCCGAGGGTGAAGCGTATACCCGAAACTTGCGACTCGTCACCTTAAACCTCTAAGCCCTTAACCCTGAAACCACTGAACCCTCAAAGAAGCCGCTTGCAAAATTTTTATTACTTTACACACAAGAATGAATCCTTAATGAAAGAAATGAAAAGCTTCTGGAATCCCGTCAACACCCGTAGAGTTAGAGAGCCTTTTTGAATTGGGGAGACACCTTGGCTTTGCCCGGTCTTCGCGCCCCCGCAACATCCCCCGGCACGGCGCTCGGTAGCCCGCCAGGACATCGCGCGCGCAAGCGCCTCCTTGTGCGAAGATAAGTGATGAAGGGTTTCTGAAAGGTTCGACTTGTTTTGCTCTTGTTTGACGGTCAAGACAAGATGTGTGCAGTCTATAGGTTTTCTGGAGTTTTACAAAAGCTCGTGGAAGCGATTCTTGTGCTTAAGGTCATCAGGAGTTGCTTCAAGCTCCAAGCAGCATTAACTCTTTTGATTAATAAGATGTAAACAATGTAAATTGGATGCACAACCATGGCTTTGGACTTTCTGGCTTCGGGTGGAACTCCATGTAATTTAATGCTCAGGCATCCGGGGCATAACGAGACGTTGAAGTGTAGGAACTAGTGCACATGAGGCGATTTTCATGCGGCATGCAGTTAGCCTGAACGAAAGCACAAGCTGTCTCAACCGTTGGGGCAAATGTTACAGCTCAAGGCGTCGCATTCATCTTTCAGGGGCATATCAACAACATCGAGTGGTCTGTCTGAAGCGGTACATACTAAGTTCGTTATTATTACTTGACCCGTCAACCCGTAGCTCCAGATGCCCCGACCGAACCGTGTTGTAAATGTAAAGGTTGGGGTTCCGGAGTTACAGCAGGAAGTGGAGATAATGCGCCTCAAAACATCAAAATCGGCTGCTCCGACGCCTGGGGGCAATTCGGCCCCCACGTCGCACCTTTCTGAAACTCCAAATCTCCCGTCCCTCAAACACACTGTCCTTTGTCTGAACCGCTGCCATCATCTCAACGAATGTTCGCCAGTCAACAAATATAGGGACTCTCGGAACATGCACACTCCTGTAAGGGAAAGCAAAGGCTGTGAGGAACTCCCATTTCCAAACAAATTCTCCGAGTGGCACATGCCGGCCCTGCCAGAACATGAGTCTTGACGTGTCACGTTCATGGCTGGCACAAAATGTGGTACGTGCTTCGTGGCATTCCAGCGGTTCTCAGGCTAACGCAGAATTCCGCAACAAAACCCGCAACTTCAGACCGAATTTACGGTTAGGAGTCAAGAGCCTCGGGGTTTGGCATTTAGTACACCAGACCAGCGGCAGAGCGCACGTGTCAGCGGCCAGGGCCTGAGCGCTGCTCGTGATTAAACCACGCCCGTTTTTGAGTAAACAATGTTAAATACGGCAAAATGGCATTGACCGTTCGTTAGATTCATAGTGAACCATGGCAAGAATAGCACTGTTGACATGAAATACAGAATACAGACTGCCAACTAACTAACACAACCAACAAACAGCTCAAATGTTGGTGCCAAGAACAAACACGGCGGAAATGCAAACAACACGAATGGAACGTGCACTCATGGCATCTATGCATCCAAATGCAATAGACAACATGGGTTGTACTCGCAGTCGTCGCCGGGTTGAACTTCATCAACAACTGTTTGCCGATATGCAAATACCTTACATGCACGTGCAACCACATCGCATAAATACGCAAGCGTGCCAAGCACCACTTCAGCGTCATTACCCAAACTGAATGGTTTTGGCTAGCGTTCTAGATGTGTTAAACCCCGTCAACCCGCTGCATGATCAAACAAGTGTTTAGACAAACTGCATTTCCTCGAGTATGAAGACTTGTCCGATGCATAGTTCATGTCTCCATTAAGGCTGAATGTGGCTGTCCTTATTGTGCAATGCTGCTGATGGTAAACAAGCCAAGGTTGAACTGACAGAAATCCTGCATGTCTTTAATCCGTTCATGTGCTAGTCTAGGCAATAGAAATGACGGGACTGATCGTAACATTGACAACTTTATCATACGTCTCAAGCACCTAAAATATGGTGGACATACTACATCACCAACGACAGTCATGGTAGCAATACCAACAAAACAGAAGGTTAAGAAGCCCTGCATTCTCTTTACTACATGTCCGTGATGAACTGCACGACATGTATGGAGAATCAAATGATGACCAAAAGTTAGCAGAACGATGGGCTCGAGAAAGTTCTAACCGCGTCTACAGCTTCCCTACGATGATCTTGTCATGGCGGGTGGCGAGCATATAATATGTACAAATATATACACATGTATGTATGTATGTATGGATGGATGGATGGATGGATGGATGGATGGACGGATGGATGGATGTGTGTGTGTGTATATGTAGGCATGTAGGTATCTATGTATGTATGTCTGTGTGTATGTCTGTATGTATGCATGTATATATAGAGAGAGATGCGTGTGTGTGTGTGTGTGTGTGTGTGTGCGTGCGTGCGTGTGTGTGTGGGTGCGTGTGTATAACTAACTATGTATGCATCCATCTACCTATCTAACTATCTGTATATGCGCGAGACTCACGGCCCGCCACCATAAAAAGATTCGAAGCCCTGCACCCGCAGCGTCTAATCTTAATAGCCTTAATGATTACCTATACTCTTTTGGCGGCCCCTTACTATAGTCATAGTAAAATTTCCGCAGAATCCCTATTCTAATTACTATATATTATGGCCCCTACCTTATTCCATGAGAGGGTTCCTTTACTGGTTGAGAGCTTAGGGTCTCCGGTTTAGGGTTTAACTGTTTAACCCCTGATGCCCAAATCCCCAACATCAACTTCCAGTCCCCGGACAATAGTCATGGTGCGCGGCAGCTCATTAGGCGTTTAGGGTTTAGGGTTTAGGGTTTCCACTTTAAAGTCTTAGAGCTCTGGAGTCCCGGGTTTGGTTTGGGCTCAATTAGGTTTTCGGTTTGGGGTTTTCAGGTTTAGTGACCCTAAACCCCTAAACCCTAAACCCTAAACCCTAAACCCTAAACCCTAAACCCTAAACCCTAAACCCGATCGGGTTTAGGCTGAACCCTCAACCCTCCGCCTCTCTAACGGACAGCGTCGGACCTCTTCAGGCGCGCATCATCGTGGGCTGCGTGGGTCCTTGTGGAAACTGGAGAGTATTCACATCGTTGTTTAAGGGTTATTACATGTAGTGTTTAGGGTTGATGGTTCAGGGCATAGCGTTTTAGGGTACCCTAAACCCTAAACCCTAAACCGGTGGGTTTAGGGTCTGGGTTCAGCAAACTCGCTTTCATTCTAAGATTCCTGCTCTGGGCGCTTCACCACGGGCACGCTTGCAGTCTACAGTTCATGGTTTGGGGTTTAGGGTTTTGGGTTAAGGGCTGCAGCTACCGTGCCATGTGGGATAATAGTAATAATACTGAGCGTAACAATAGTAGCAATAATGATATCAATCATGTTAAGAAAAAGAACAAGAGTTTACAGGCAAATAATTAAGCATAGTAACAGTAGAACTCAGAAGAGTAATAATAAAAATGACTTTAAAATAGTTGTAAGTAAGGACACGGATAATACTACCCACGAATACGAACAATGTTAATAAAAATAGCAGCTCAAAGTACTTATAATTATCGTTTCCATAGCAATACTAGCCATATAACAATTAGAATACAGTGGTAATAACGGTAATGGATAATTAATGTAGGCTGTGGTTTGCATTGGGGCGTTCCCCAAAAACGCCAAAACCTCAAACCAGACCACCTCGAATATCCAAAGATGACCCTGAAGCAAAGGCTTACCTTAATCCATACAATGATAGGATACCCTTTTGGCGGTTCTGTCCTTGTTGGTCCTTTTAGCAGTCTGGGCACTAACGCAACTAAGTAACATATTGAAGCCTGAAGATGAAGTCATACTTTCTCAGGGCTCCTTCTCATAGTTAAGTATAGTGCCGTATACCGGAAAACCTACTTGTTAAGGCCCCTGTTTCAAAACCGTTTAAACCCCTTCTAACAACCCTTATACAAACCTTTTGAAGGAACCCTTGAAGCCTTGAAGGAACCCTCCCCAGTCATGAAGGAGGCCCCTTGTATGAAACCTTCAAGCACTGAGCTGCGGACGCCGGCTCGAACCGCAGAGACCGCCTGGAACCAAGAACGGGGTTTACGATTTAGGGTTTAGGGTTTTGGTTTCGGGTTTGGGGTTTAGGGTTTAGGGTTTTGGTTTCGGGGTTAGGGTTGTCGTTTTAATTCCCTTTTCTACTCGTGCTCACAGAAAGGTCCGTTCGGACGGCCTCGGTCAACCCAGGCTACGGACAAACTGCGATAAGAACAGACTAGCACGAGACAACCCTAGTATACCGTCCATGACTTGAGGGTTTAGGGTTTAGGGTTTAGGGTTTAGGGTTTAGGGGCTACTCTCCGTGGATGCATCCGGGTGCTCAAAGGCTTGATACTCTGACACGCGCACGTTTGCCCGCGTCATCGCCCCGATGAAAATGCATGTCATGGTGCTTAGCCCAAACATCCCACCCCTCGCATTCCTAAACCCTAAACCCTAAACCCCTAAACCCCAAACCCTAAACCCTAAACCCTAAACCCCAAACCCTGAACCTCAAACCCTAAAACCCTTAACCCTAAACCCCTTCACCCTAAACCCTGAGCCGATATCCATGCGGGTTGAGGGTTTACGGTGTGGGCCTGGGATATTCGGGGCCTGCAGCTTACGGAAACTTCAGACTTGGGAGCTCCGGAAGATGATACCAATGATTAGGGCTGAGGGTTTTGGGCTCAAGGTTTAGGGCTTCGGGCTTAGGTTTAGGGTTAAGGGCTTAGGGCTTAGGATTTAGGGTTTTGGGTTAGGGTTTTTTTTTGAGCTCCGTTTTCCGGATGCATGAAGGGTTTAGGGCTTAAAGTTTAGCCCTAAACCCTAAACCCTAAACCCAAAACCCTAAACCCTAAACCCTAAACCCTAAAGCTTCAGGGCTTAGTGCTTAGGGTTTGCAGTGGCAGCAACAGTGCAGCGAACCGAGCCGGAAGCTTGCAGCCCAAGCCGCAAGCTCTGAAATCCGCCATGAAGGAGTCTAATGTTTAGGGTTTAGGGTTTAGGGTTTAGGGTTTAGGGTTTAGGGTTTAGGGTTTAGGGTAATGTAGGGGCCTTAATAATTAGAATAGGGTTTTGGGGTCCCATGATACTATAGTTTTAATAAGGACCCCCTCCAAAAAAAATAGTATAGGTAATTAATCAGGCCCCTATGTTACACCGAAACCCTAGACCCTAAACCCTAAACCTTAAACCGCAAACCCTAAACCCTAAACCCTAAACCCGAACCGAAACCCTTGGACACGTTGAAACCCTGCAAAACCTAGTAAGTCGGAACCCCGGCTTTCTCGAGACGCAGCCATGGTGAAACCCTACTATAGGGTTTAGGGTTTAGGGTTTAGGGTGGCCCTACTATAGGGGCTTTCAAACTGGAACAGGGTTTTGGGGCCCAGTATACTGTAATCATAATAAGGAACCCCCAAAGTAGTACTGGTAATTATTGAGGCCCCTACTTTAGATTCTAGATGCCCCCAGAACAAGAAACCCTGAACTCCAAACCCCAAGCCTCAAAGGCCTGACCCCCAGTTGAGCAGTGTAGCATATAGCATACATGACGCAGGCGATCGCGCATATGCTTTAGAGCATCTGCCCTACTTCAGGGGGTTTAGATACTCTATGTTATACCCCCTAACACGAAAACTCTCGACCCTCCAAGCATCAATCCCGAAACCCTAAACCCTAAACTTAGGGTTTAGGCTTTAGGGTTTAGGCCAAACCCTAAACCCTAAACCCTCCCAAAGCGCTCTGAGCAGCGGGCACAATCGCGGCCCACCGAAACCCTCGGGCCGAACCACCTGCCCCTGGACCTGGCTATAGAGGCCTTACTAAACTAGGGTTCCATTCAAGGGTTTCCTTTAAAAGGTCACCAGAAGGGTTCTGTGATGTAAGGGTCTTAATAATTAGAGGGGGTGTTGGGCTCCTCTATCGAAAAATGATAAAAAGGAGCCCTAAGAATAACATTGGTAATGATTTAGGCTTCTATGCTACAAGGTTTCAGGGTCTGGGTTTAGGGTAGGCTCGAGGTGTCTGTGTCTGGACCTGGCAAGTTCGATACGGGTTCCTCAGAATAGGCTGAGCGCACAGGGGTTTAGGCTTTCGGATTTTGGAGTAGGAGTAGGAGTTGTTTTCGTCGGAGGAGCAGTAGCAGCAGCAGCAGCAGCAGCAGGCGCTGCCAAAGTAATAGTAGAGGTAGTCGTCGTCGGCAGCAGCAGAAACGATGCCAACGGGCCTTGAGACAATATTACTGTCACAGCAAGACAGCATGCAGTCGGCTTCGTCCGAAGACACCACGAAATCTGCCGGCAGCACTATTGGGTTCTCATCCTCGCGCCAGGCCGGCTTGGGGAGGGGGAATGAAGGATGTAACCCAAAGCATCAACCACCTTGAACCTACGCCCCAACAGCCTTAACATACGACTCTATGCCATCTATCTATGGTAGTGACAGGAGGTCCTGGCAAGGAAGTCCTGAGTAGAGTAGAAGCCAAAAACAATCAATATCCGCACGCCTTCAGAGTGGAGCATAGACAATCCCAGCAAGAATCCTCCTTACCGCATCTTTCAACTTTTTTGAGCATACTGTAGGCCTGTCAGCTTACAGGGGGAGCTGCGGAAGTCCGTGTTTTGGTGTGTGTGTGTGTGTATATATATATATATATGAGAGAGACACCTCTGGGGTATATTTAGCGCCTCGCTTCCTCTATATATTTAAATATTTCAATTATTTTAATTATTTGGGATGGCGCGAGA